ACTGAGAACGCCATTGAATTCAGAAGGCTTCAATTAAGTAGGAGCAACTATCAGAACCTTTGCCTAAAAAAGTGGATTTGATACCTCCTGGAAATATTCTCACTAAGAGAAGGATCCTCATTAAAAGTAGTAAATCAGGGGTTTTGCACACTTCTAGTAAAAATTTGTTTGAAGCATTTTACAGGTATATGTAATGTTATAAGGACTAGTAGTTACAAAAATGTGCCTTCAATTGATATGTTTTTGGAATAAAAAATTACGCTCAAGATCGCAGAATCTTTAAAAGTGGGATTATTCTGAAAACACACCTCTTGCTATGGTATCAAAGTATTCGTAATTCTTTGTAGAATACAATACATACTTAAAAAAAAAGTAAGTGCGCCTGGTCCACACTTAAGAAGTGAAACTTACGTTACATATCTGTTTTGTATCAAAACCAATATACATACATACATCTGCTTTTGCTTAAGGTTATATTTTTGTCTTTTTTCTATCTAGATCCCTACATCTGCCCCTGTTCCTTCTAATTACATTTATTTTCCTTTATCTTCATTTTTATCGATAATTAAACCGATAGTAAAACCCAACAAAATACCAAAAACAAAACCAATAAAAATATGGATAACAAAAACGATGACAAATTCGATAAAAATTTCGATAGCAAAATCAATAATAATATTGGTAGCAAAATTGATTAGAAAATCGATAAAAATATAGATGACAAAATCGATAACAAAAATCGTTTAGAAAATCGATAAAAATATTGATAACAAAACCGATAAAAATATAGATAACAAAATCGATTACAAAATTGATAACAAAATCGATAAATAATCGATAACAAAATCGATAAAAATATCGATAACAATTTCGATAAATATATCGATAATAAAATGCCGCCGTCTGTCGGCGTAAACCTCTGTTACAGAGGTTCAAAAATGACCAAAAACGCGTTTTTCGGCAGCCTTAAACCTAATTTGATTGAAAAGTAGAAGTAATCCAATATCTTTAAGGTCAGATTCGGATTCTACGGAAAAAATCCTATAAGAATCCGCTGTAATATCTTAGGCAACATAGCATTGTTTAAAATGTGTTGGCCCGTGTTATACTAAAGCCAGCCTTCCGACATAAGCTACTTTTCCATACGAACACAGATTTGTATACATTTTTAATAAATTATTGAAAAAAGCATAAAATACATACGTATGTACATTAGACCACGTCAAAAAAAGTCCTTCAATGCGACCAGAATAAGATTCAAACTTTAGCATTTGGTATAGTTATGATCCTCCATGAATTTTCCCTCTCTAGGACAATTGTAAGAGGCCCTGCGTCAAACCTTTATTATTCTCATAGGAATTACACGTAAGAGAATGAGTTCTTTCCTTTTTAGGTCAATATAATTTTCTAGGATGCTGGAGTCTAGAAAGAGAAGCCTGATGAGTAGCTATGGTGATCTCCGAAATAACTTCAACCGCTTAGACTTTGTTGCCTTCTCCATTTTTCCTAGTAGTCGTTTTAACAGAAGGAAAGACTATATGGAACCAACAAAAGCATACCATTCATTTTAGTTCTACTACATAACACTCTTAGTATTGGATACTTATTCTTCTTCTTCTTATTTGGCACTACAACCGTTTGGCGGTTTGGGACGAGACCAAAAAGCTTCTCCGATTGCTCCTCTCCTGTGCGAATTTTCGCCAGTTGGTTATCCCGAGCGCAGACAGGTCTTTCTGCACTTGGTCCTTCCATTGAGTTCGTGGGCGCCCTTGCTTTCGTTGTCCACCCATGGAAGCGCAGTCGAAGAATCTTTTCACCACAGCGTCGTCATCCATGCGTGCAACATGTCCAAGCCAGTGCAATCGCTGTATTTTTATGCGCTTAACTATATCCATGTCGTTAAAAAGTTCATACAGTTCGTCATTCCATCTTCTCCGACACCCGTCGTCCACGAAAACAGGGCCGTAGATCTGGCGTAGAATATTTCTCTCGAAAGCCCCCAAAGTCTTCTCATCTTTGTTCGACATCGTCCAAGTTTCTGCGCCATATAGGACGAACATGATAAGAGATTTGTAGAGCGTGAATTCTGTTCGTCGAGAGAGGGCCAACAGCAATGGGGCATAGTCGTTGCTCTGGGTATGCAGTTACAGTGGCACGGCTTTACTCAATCCCGACTCTTGCATCCTCGTTCGCACACTCTGGGCAACGTGAGCAACCCATGTGCAAGATGCGGTAACCAATCCGAGTGGAGTCTTGGGTCACGGCAGAAAGAGAGGGGGCTTCGGTGGGGCCATTTCGACTTATTCCGCTTGAGGGCTCACTGAAGTCTACAGCGTTTGCTCACCAGGAGGTGCGGCTGCAAGCGGGCGTTCACCATCTTGAATATGCTGGCAAAATTAAGCACCGATTCGTACTACAGGAGCTGTAAGAACGAGGATAACGAAGCAAAGCCGTACATTTTTTAGAGTTCGTCCTATTCACAGGACCTAAACTTTATGAAAATTATTTGAAATTGGATGTTTTGCAAGGTTTGCGTGTCAGGCAATCCATGTGAAGATTGGTATGCAAGTATGTGTTTCTTAAAAAATTATAAAAGGGGTGTAGGTAGCATAGGCACCGACGGAAGTATTGCAATTTAAGAGAGCCTCGAGGTCGTGGGTTTGAATCCCGCGGCCTGCAAACAGTTTTTTTAGTTGCTTTAATTATTGTTTTTAATTTTTTTTGATCTTAATTACACTGTACAGCACTTAGCTTGGTATTGCACCAAACCAATTTTTTTAAGAGATTGAGTCATAATTAAAAAAGTAATTTTTCCGTTTTTCGAAGTTAGCCTCCGAGGTCGAGATATGGGCCTTCGAAGTTCGAAATTGGACCTTTGGTTAAAAAATACTTTTAATTATTGTATGTAAACAACTAAAAAAAGTAAAAATATGAGCGTGGTCCACCTTTTGCTCTCATTTAAACGGTATATAACATTTTTACTGGTGCTGAAGTCAAAGTCAAGTATATTCGACATAAAAATCATGTTCCATTTGGGTAAAAATTCATTTAAAAGCAATATTAACAAAAATTTCACGATGGAAATTTATGTCACGTCATGCTATGTCACTTAGCGTTTTACACTTGGATGGGATTGTAAAAGAAAATTGAAACAATTGCATTAATTAAAAAAAAACTAGAATTGCTCCAAATCATATTAAAACAAGTTTCATGAAAACAGCTATCCACAATTCGCAAGAGTTTTCCGATTTTGTAAGAAAAAAAAATTAACTCCCATTTCACATAACGTACCCCTCTTTAACTGAGTCCCAGAAGATAATTTTGGTAGGCCTTCTTAAGTAAAGCCATTCTAAGAGGCCTACCCGAGAAGGGCTGAAAAAAGTGCTTCCTTGCAAATCATATTTGATATAAACTGTAAGCAAATACTTCAAAGATGTGTGATTTTTATAAATTAAAGAAGCAACTTTAAAAGTACTCCTCCAAAAGTCGTTCTGAAGTACGTCCTATAAAAGCCCTACTGGAAGCCCTTCCATGGAACGAAGAAGAAGCCCTTCAACTTGTGCCACTCCATACAAAAAAGAAAGGAGAAAGGAATGGAGAGTGGAAGGCATCTTGACTCTCAGGAAGGCCTGACTCCTAATATTATCGACTCGGGTATATTTAAGGACCGGTTCGATTGTTTTCTTTTTTTCGGTTAAATATAGAGCTAAATATGTGCTATACTGGGTCCAAAGAAGTAAAAGAAAAAAGTATTTTCCATGTTTGTATCTCATTGAAATATACGACTGTCACGTACGTGACATATGTAAATACCCATAAATATCTAAATAAAATAAAAATAAAAAATTACATTTTTGGAAATTGGTCGGAACGGGGTTCGAAACGGGGCCCTACCAATCCTTGGTTCCTACATTTAAGGACCGCACTAATAAACATACATACGTATGTATGTACCTAGGTACTTGGTTTTTTCAAGTACTGTGTATACAGTCCCCTGATTTTTCGTGTGAATAGTTATCCTATATTTTTGCTTTATTCTCTGTGCATATTAAACGTAATTAAAAGCTGAAAATCTTGAATTTTTTAAATTAAGTTTATGTAATTTTTGTTCTTAAGATATACATAAGTATGTTGTTTTTATATGCATAGATATACTACTTATGTATATTTACTTACACAGGTGTCATTTCATTTCTAATTAATAAGGTTTTTGAGTAAATTGTGACCGCTAGGAAGCTACATTTTAATAATAAAAAATATTAATAACTACATTGCTAGAGATATTTTGAAAATTTCTATCATCAAAGATTTTTGTTTTATATCATACATAATTGAAATTTCTGAAATGTGGCTGCAATTTATTTTCATAGTAATGCCGAGTTTCGTCTAGGCTTTGAATTTTCAAAAAAAAAAACAAATATTTTTTGTCATTTCAATGCCTAGTGAAATTCAGAAAACGAGTACATGCAATCCAATTATAAAAAAGACAAAAAGGATTTTGAATAAAAAAAATAGAAAAGCAACCTTCAGGAGGCTTAAAAGAAAATTCTAGTTATATATGGCGAAGGTGATGAAAAGATGCAACAAATTAGGTACAAATAATTAAGCAAATTAACGACAGCAGTTCACTTCAAGGCAGCTACAACTACGATTTGAAAAATTTACTAAACTTTTGTCATTCTTGATATAGGCGACTATTTACTTTTAATTTACATATACATATATTTATGTATGTATTTATATTTGTTATACGAAAGTGTGTCGAGGTTGTTAAAAAAGTGTTGACTAACGGATATTTTTGTGTGTTTTATTAAAATGTACATTGAATTTTAAATGTATGCACTCTTACACAAATAAATTCAGTATTATGTTGTGATTATGAATGATTTATATGTGTTGATACGTATGTGTATATTATTTTTATCAAAATATTTTTGGTATACGATTTTTATATAATATTTTAAAATATAAATATGTATTCAATAATTAACTGTACGCACCTGTATCGACAATAACATCTATGAGATCCATGGATTTGGCAAAGGCATCTTTCAGATTGATATGATGAAAGGAGACGATGCTTCCTTCACGTTTCGCCCGATCGAGCGCCTCACGTCGCTTGAGCGCCTTCTCGCGTCGCATCTGGTTCTTATAAAATTCAGCAAAATTGTTAACGATGATGGGAATAGGCAAAGCGATTACCAGAACACCGCATATGCAACACACAGTACCAATAACCTTTCCCAGTGCAGTAGTGGGATAGATGTCCCCGTAGCCAACAGTTGTCATTGTAATACCCGCCCACCAAAATGTTTCCGGTATTGAAACGAATTTTGTATCCTTTTCATCCTTTTCGGCAAAATATGCCAGCGAAGAAAATATGAGAACGCCCATGGCCAGGAACAGCATTAGTAGACCGAGTTCCTTATATGAATTACGTAGCGTAAAGCCTAACGACTGCAGGCCCGTTGAGTGACGGGCCAGCTTAAGGATTCGCAGGATGCGCATGATGCGAAATACTTGCACCACCCGGCGCACATCCTGGAACTGGTCCGTTGCATTCTTATTCGTCTCCAATAGGAATAGGGAAACAAAATATGGGAGTATTGCCAATAGATCGATTATGTTAAGGCCGCCCTTAAAGAATTTCCATTTGTCCGGCGACGCACTAAACCTAAGTATATACTCTAAGGTGAACCACGATATGCAAACGGCCTCAACCATAGCCAATTGCGGATTATCGGATGGTGTACCATTCTCACTGTGTTGTAGTTGTGGTAGGGTGTTCAACGTCAGGGCTATGGTAGACAGGACTATAAATAGTATGGATATCACTGCGATAACCTGTTGAGTAGAATTCAATTCAATTCGATTCAGAGGCTTGTTTTCTGTTTTGCTTAAAAATTTGTATTTTTTTTTTTGTTTTTTTTTTCTTTTGTATAGGCATTATGTTTTTGTTGTACTTCAATTGAAACGCATTACAGGTCTTACTTAAGGTTGCGCTAATCAAATTAAGTTTGAACGGCTATTATATACTAAATGATAATGTTAAAGATCTAAAGAGACGCTAAACTTAAAGTAATGTAAGTTTATAAGAGCATTTATGTAAAATCCAGCTGGAGGCAGCTGTTGCTTGTTAGAAAGCATACATTTCCGGGAGGCAGGGATCTTACACTGAAAGTCATTTAGTCAAGGCGCTGAAAATTGTTGTTGGTTACTTTGTTGCAAGTCACACACTTTCAAGCATTTTCAGCTTTTTTTTTACATCAAACCAGTTCCAAAGGATCATGCCAGCCTAATTTCAAGGGTTTCTATACTATTTATAAATATTTATTAGCATATGCATCTAGAATCGCTGGGTGGGTGAGACTAGTGTGTGTGTGTGAGCTTTGGAGGTTTGTGTAAGAAATAACAGGTGGATGTAGTGGCGGTCGGTTAAGTCCTTGGTGCGGGGTGAATGGAGCGTTCTAGCCACCGAGGGCGTACAAATGTATGCGTTATGAGTTTGGGACTTACACAAATGTGCCTACTTGACACTTACCTACAGCAGTTAAAGTACACAATTTTGTGAAAATTGAAAAACGTATAAGAATATATAAGAGTATTAGAACTAAAATATTGTATTAAATAAAAATATTTAAGGGTTTTTAGATACATATGGCTATTCTAATCCTTCCGTGATTTTTCTGTTGCTGTTTTGGATTGCTGGACTGTTGAACTGAAGACTACGAGAGGAAAAGGGGAGGGCCTTGACTTTTGAAGGGAGAGGTGTTTACCGTTAGGTGTATTAACTCTTAAATGATCAGTATGGTGCTGAAATGCTTGGAACTAGCACACGAAATGTGAAATGCTGGATTTTGATTTAGTGTAAAAAGAGAAAAACTTATAAAACTAAAGACAAAGTGACTTACAGTTAAAATTAATTACGTATGTATATAATTCAAAAAATAAAGTTCTGTTAATTATATATTTTATTTTTTTTTTGGGTTTAAAAATAGATTATCTAAAAATAGTTAGGTGTCAATTGCACACAACACAAAAATACACGAACACATGTACTTATAAGAGGTGAGGACAGAAAAAAACAGAAAAAATATAAATGTTTAACACGTACTATATACATATCAGGTTGGTAAAAAATTATGTATAATTGAAAAAAAACAATATTTTTTAGATTAACTGTAAGTTTTTGTGAAATAAAAATTAAAAGTTATAAAAACAAAGAAATATAAATAATAACTATCTAAATATAAAATTATTTATATGCATGACAGTTCGTTAATCTGAAGTTGCTGCTGCAGCCAGTCGGTTGAACACTGTTAATTGTAGAATTGGTTTGGGAGCTCTATATACGCTAAATGCTGGGCACGTAGCAGCTAAACGATTGAGGTGGATGTGAAAAGCTAACATACTGCCTGGGTTTCTATTTGGGGTGTAGTATGGGTGGTAATGAGAAAAGCACTTAACTGCCTGTAGGAACTTTGCGCCATTTCGCTGTTGGTTTGACAAGTAAATTGGTTCAAAATGTCTTAATATATTTACGTAATTCGGAACAAATTTTTAAGCGTTTTAAAGCTAATTCATGCTTACCGGTACAACATAACTAAAACTTCAAAAAACTCTGGCTTTAAAACTTCACTTACTAAAAAATTCGAGAAATAAAAAGTTTAAAATTTACAAAAAAAAAGATACAAGAAAAACAATTTTTTAAAGAAATTTTATTTTTTTTATTGAGATAAAAAATCGGATTCCATACAAACCGCACACCGTCTTCGAAACGGGCACAACTCAAAACTACGCTTTTGCCAGAAAATGCGAAAAACTATTTTTTAGCACATGATAATCATATGGGCAAAGAAGACTTTACCTAAGGTTTTTTAACAAATCAAAACAATAATTTGTTCCAGCTTTTGCTGAAAGGTAAATAAAAGATATGTGTACATTTTTAGCGAATAATTTCAAAAATGCTAAATTTTGAGTTGTGACTCTTTTGAAAACGGTGTGCGAGATGCCAATAAGAAGCTAAAAAAATGAAAAAAAGTTAAAAAAGCAAATGAAAGAAAATTTTAATTATTTTCCCGGTACCGATAAGAAGCATATATACCAGAAGCATATGGACCTATGGATATCCACATATTCTAAATAGTTGTTGAACAGATTGGTAAAACTTTTCTCAAACTTACTAAATATATTGATTAATTTAATAATATAATAATATATTTGTTAATTTTTAGATTCGAACACTATACACTATTCGTAAATGCGAATATCAATAAACTATTCGAGACTCCCAGCCCTAGTACTTATGAAGGTATGCATCTCAGTAAGCTTGAATGTCTCTTCTTCGAAATATTACTACCCGTTTTTGTATTGAAAGACACAAAGTTCGCTTTGCAGCTGCTACCTACTTTCTTAAAACTACTGATTTTTCTCGAAACACTTTAATGACGTTCCAAATCAAATCGGTAACGAGTAAAGCGTATAACGAGTACACAATACTAGCAATCGGGTCTGCAGTCGATTTTTTGTAAGTTTAAAACACAATTTGTCGCTTTTTCTTGTTTGATAAATCTGAACAAAATTGAAATCGGCCGCAAAACTGGCAGTAAATTTGAAAAATTTTACTAATTCACTACATTACACTTGTTTGTACTGTTTTTGTTCTGTATTGTTGGCAAAGAAGAAGCTTAAAGTGTTATGGTAACCTTAAAGTACCGCAAAAAAAAATTGGCGGTAAAGTTTTGATTACAACATTTTTTATTACATTTTGTAATTGTTGACCAAATTTTTTTTTCAATTAAAAAATAAAATAAATTGTACCCATATTAATATCAAAAAAAAATCACATTAAAGATAATTTGTTTTTCAACGTGTAAGCGCGTATGACCAATTAAATTAATTACAACTACCAACAATGCATGACAATTTATTAAACTGTGTTACTTGTATGAAAACGGCAAATATTTATGAACTCTTGGAACCAGTAAATTTGCTTTATTTGCAATAAAAAGCGTTCTTACGTAAAGAGAAAACTAAAAAAAAAAAAAAACAAAACATACTTGTAATAACACGCATTGACTTAGCTAGCTGGGGCTAGCAAAGTTAACAGTTAATTTGAGCAGTAAACATTTGCTAGCAAGCTAAATACAATAAAAACAAGTTCAATTCCATAACAACTGTACTTTGTGGGTGGTACTGTAGCTGGTCGGGTGGGGTACTGAAATATTGAAATACGAGTATGCACATTGCGGCGAAATGCTTTGAGCGGTTCGCTCTTGGCTTTTTGCTTTCAGTTTGACTTGCATTTCCGCTTTGTGCACCTACAACTACAAACATATTTTCTTCCATACGAACGAATTAACATAGTAGTTTTCTATTATTTATTTGATTTTGATTCACTTTCACATTTCATATGTATTCTAGATTTCTGATTTCAAGTTCCACTATAATAACCATTCCGATTCGGATGGTAATTGCGTTCAGTGAACATCCTGCATCCGTAGGCCCTAAAATTTGACACATTTCCGACTGTAGCATTAAAATATGCACAGCTTTGCAATAAGCATAATTAAATTGGGCATTTGTTTGGCATAAAACATATTCACGCTTGTTGTGTAGGTAAGTATGTATTTGATTATATGTATGTTTAAAGGAAAATAGTATATGTAGGTAATTTGTTTTTGTATATGTGAATACGTCCACATCTACCATGGCGAGCACTGTACGCAACAACGCATTAATAATCGTTTTCGATGTTGATTGTGACATTTGATTTTGATTTTGATTTTGATGCATTCGAAATAAAGAAAACGTGTCAATTGGGTAATTGGATGGTGAAAATTTCAAAAAATTGCGGGAAAGGGTCTACAAAGTATTTACATAAATACTTAAATAAGAGGACAAATTGTTACATAAAACCTAAAATTATTTATGTATGTACGTAAACTATGTATATAAGAATTATGCTAAGAATTGAATGAAAGCAGAAGAAGAGAAGTAGAGGTCACTATGGGATAAGGCATTCAGCTAACTATTACATTTACATACATATATTTAAAATTACAAAAAAAACCTCAGGCGTTTTATTCAAATCAAAGCAACTTTTTTTATCGAATGTTTGAAAACTGTTTATTCTAAAGAGCCCCTTTTGTATACAAATTGTATTTGCATTAAATATATATGTACTAATAATAATCTTGAAAAGTTTTTTTGGGCAAAGTAACTATGCATGTACTTCAATTGGTATATTGATGTTTCTCGAAGAGAAACTATCGGTTACAAAATGTGTAACAAGAGAACACATAAAACCAAAGAAAATTGAAAGAAATTAACTGAAACATTAGTGAGAGAAAGTGCCTCGAAAGCTAACAATGGGAGAATGATCGACTTATAGGGGTATATGTATGTACAAATGCGGTTGAGCTTATATAATATTTACACTTAATTTTCCCAACCATTTCAAAACAACACATGCATAAAACCCAATCAAATGGTTTTTCTTAAAATTTAAGACCTTTCACTCGATTTTTTCAAATAAATTTAAGTGAACGGTATACAATTTTAAGAAAAAGCAATTGCTTAATTTGTATGCCTACGGCCCGTTATATCTAAATATGCCTTAAAAGCAATATCTGTAATTTTTGTAAAAATGAAAAGTCCTATATATTACTGTATGTACTTAGTTCCTCTTGGCTAAATATTGAATTTTTTATATCCATCCGAAAGAAGAAGTATGATGATAACCAATTTAAATTATTGCAGCTATTATATTATTCCATCAAATAAACTGGCATCAAGCTAGTACGTAATCGTTGCCTAAAATATTTGTTTCCTTTGGTGACCCA